TCACGAGTATCACACTTTCGGGAGTACCGAGAGCTAGTTATTGACGGTGAGAGTGTTAATTGAGAATGTTAATAATTACCTATCGGTATTGTCAACGAGAATCTATTAATATTCCGAGTGTGATACTCTGGCGTGTAGATATCTGCACTCCTAAGGAGCGTCAATAGGGGGCTATTGCTATTCCCGCGAGTGTCCAATAGCTTCTTGTTGACACTCCCTAAAAGTGCCAATAGCTCCTTATTCACAGTCAAACATAGTGCCTCAGGATAGCCCCTCGTTGAAACAACCGGCAGTGCGACAGTACCAATAAGGAAGTATTGGTACTGCGAGCAACTGTTACTGAGTGGTAACAAGGTGCTGTTCGAACTCCCGATAGTGTGAACGAGATGCTATTGGTCCTCCCAGCATTTGTTTGTGAGTGTCAACAAGGAGGTATTGGCACTCCTTGTGTTAGTGAGCAAGGAGCCATTCGCATCGCAAGGGAGGGTCAATCAGGAGCTGTTGGCACTCCTGTACAGTGTCAATGTGGAGCTGTTGGATCTCCCAGGCAGTGTCCACAAGGCGCTGTTGGCACTGCCAGGGAGTGTCAATCACTAGCTATCCGTACTCCCGAGAGTGTAATACTCCCGGGAAAGGCAATAGCTCCTTTACACTCCCAAGGAGTGGCAACGGCTCATTGTTGATCTAGATTTGGCAATAGCTCCTTGTTGACACTTTCTAAGAGTGCCGATAGCGCGTTGTGTACACTGCCTGGCAATGCCAATAGCTCCTTGTTCGTGCTTCGTCGGAGTGCCAACAGCTCCTTGTTGAAACTACTTGGGAGTGCCAACAGCCCCTTGTTGACAGTCCCAAACAGTTGCTGGTAGTACCAAGGCCTCTTGGTTGACCCTGCCTACCTGTGCAGGTACCCCCTTGTTGACACTCCCGAGAGTACCAATAGCTCCTAGTTCACACTCTCGTCGGTTCCAATAGCTATTTCCTGAAGCTCCGTGGGTGTGCAAATAGCCCCAAGTTGCCACTCTCGGGGCTACTAATAGCTAGATCCTAGTAGGCACTCTCGGGGAACTGGAAGCTCGTTGCTGACACTCCGTAGCAATGCCAATAGCTCCTTCTTTACGCGCCAATGTCGCCGGTCAACAATGAGGCGTTGGCCTTCCGTAGGAGCGTCAACAAGGAGCTAATTGCACACCCAGGTTCGATGATCCGCTGTGGGTACCGCTGGGAATGTCGACGAGGAGTTAATGGTACTTTCAGCAACCGTTTGGGAAAGTCAAGAAGTAGGTAGTGGCAATCTTAAGAGTGTCAACAATTAAGTACTGGTACCCCGAGCAACTGTTCCTGAGTCTACAAGGAGCTGTGGGCTCTGCTCGGGAGTGTCAACAAGGAGCAATTGGTACTCTCGGTAGTGACAACGAGGAGCCATTGGTACTCCCGAGGGTGTCAACCAGAAGCTGCTGGTACTCCCAACGGTGTGAGTAGCTTCCGGTACTGGCAGGTTGTGTCAACTAACAGCTGTCGGCACTGGCAGGTAGTGTCAACGGGCAGCTACTGGCACTCCTTGGGCTAGTGAGCCGACCCATCCCGATGATGAAAATATTCGGACCATGTCCGGCTCAGTCTGACCAAACGTAGAACGTGAAAGAATTTCTCTGGCCTGGCTCGACCACTCCTGATACTTTTCAGACATGTCATTTTGACGAAAATTATTTTTTCGCAAAAAATCCTGAGAGTATCCCATACAAAAAATGTCAACAAATTTTTTTGAACTGAAATATCTCGATTTATATATCAGTCGACGCAATTTTTGACAGAGATTACAAATTTGATACTATTTTTGCTGAAAAATGTAATAAAAAAGCAAAAATTGCAAGATACGAGCCCGTTTGAGCATAAAAATGCCATAAATTTTACAATATCGGGTTTAATTCACTTTCCCCCAAGATTTTTTTCGAAAAATTCTTTTTCGTCAAAAATATACAGATGACATGTCTATAGATTCAGTTTTTTATGGAGATCACGAATCGGCTACTATGTTTATCAAAATATGTACATGAAGAATGAAAATCGGAAAATACTAGCTCATTTTGACGTATAGTACAAGATATTTCAATAACTCCATAGCCAATAATTGCTGTACGGCCTATTAATTACACTCATAAATCCAGTTTTTAATGAGCATTAATTTGGTATATAATATTCTGTGATATCGTTTATACTTTAAGTTGCTGAGGGGGCGTGAATGGTTTTGTGACACCCTGTAGTAAAAGGACGATATGATGATAGTTTATCCTGAAAGCGGAATACTGTGCTACTATAAGACATCGAAAATAAAATAAAGTTTATGTGTTAAAAGCACGTTTTAAGGAAAATAACAAATAACACATTATTACATTAAATAACAAATTACTCATAATCAAGTAATACGAATAGTCTAAATTATTAACCAACTATTAACCATTATTAAAAATATTAACCATTCATTTCCTGACCATTGACGAAAATCTGTTTTTAATGTACACGTTTGTTTAAATTTAAGCATTGTAGAAAATAAAATGCGACCTGCTATTATTGGTGCACCAAGACAAAATAGTATAACATAAAACGGTTTTCTCATACATTTACAACAATCACATCCTTTGGACCATTTAAATAATTTATTGGTAATTCTTTTTAAACCATCAAATGATAAATAGGGTATTATACTAAATAAATTAAAATTAAAACTTTTAAATAATTTTTCAGTTGTATATAAAATAAGACCTTGTTACAATTACGAAATTTTCGACCATTTTTACAATAATAATATAGAGAAATACCAATATCTTTTATAATTAGAATATGAATAAAAACAAATTCACTAATATAAATAAGCAATTTCCAGTTTCATTGATGAATATTTCCAACGTCAAATACAGCATATTTTAACTTCCATTGATAAAGATTTATTATAAGATTACGATATATTATAAATAGATTAAATAATGAAAATACAAGTATTAATAAGCAACGAAAATTTAAGAGACTATAAGACCATTTGGTACTAATTTTGTTTGTAAAATAACTTGATATTTCTTCTTTTATACGAAAATGAATATCAATAAATAAAAAACTAGCTGATTTTTCAAAAAACGTGATTTTTTCAACCATTAGAAACGATAGTAACTTTGAGAGAAAAGAAATGTTGTTTTAATGAAATAGGGATGACACTTTACTGTTATTGAAAGTTGGTTTTCTGGAAAATCTGATCTCCAAAGACCTTTGGGCCAGTTCAAATCCGGTTAGAATTGGAGACCTTTTCTCATTAGTAGTATAACTTTGAAGCAATGTTTAAAAGTCTTTGTTTAACTGTTCATAAAGAAAATTCCATGCTCTTTTGATTGCAATAGGTTTGAAATTTCGTGAAAAGTCACTCCAAGTTCGATGGACATACCCTTCTAAATTTTTTTTAATTTTCTATAATAATAAATATTCATTACATCAGATTGATAATATTTGTTGTAATTTTTTTTGTATAATTGTTGTAGGACGACAGCATGTTTTTTTCTCTTTTGATTCTAGTATCCACAAATATATCTTGTAAGATGAAACTTTTTAAGCACATATTTTTCTGAATTGTTATTTTCTCTGACATATGATATTGGCTTAGTAAATACATTTTTTAAGAAACCTGTTGTTTTGTCACGGTGAAGGGTAAGAACAAATGAACGAAGGTTGTTTTTGTTCGAAAACAGTTTAATTTTAAGGTGGAGTGGAGTAAAATAAGTTGATGAATCGCCGCTGTTGCTGTTTGTTTTAGCCAAATTCTCTTGTTTCCTTCGCTTTTCTTTTTTCTTTTGTTTTCACAATTTCTGACTCACCTGGTCTGCGACAGAAGATATTGCAAAGTTTTTGCTGAAGTCCATGTTCAGACAACTGAAACGTTTTCTAACAGACTCTGTGGTTACGAAAACTTCGCGATACTTCAGCCAGAAAGCCAGACTTACAAAAACAAAACACACGGGGCTTGAAATATACATTTTCTCACGTAAAGTGAACCTCACTGCAACGCTAAAATGATGTTCATGTTTGTTCGACATTGGAAAAACTTAAAATGTACTTTATGTCCAAAAAGAAAAACATGTTTTTTCTAAACAAAGTTTTTAGAGTTCTTCTAGAGTTTGAACATCGACTGCAATGCGATATTCAATCGACCAGTAGCGATTGACGAGGATGACTTTACCTGAATATTTCACTGCATGTCCCTGCGTTTGTACATGCCCACAGTAGGAGAAAATGTCAAGATATTTCGAGAAAGTGTTAAGATAGTTAGTAAAAAAAGTAGAATATCCTGATCGGGAGATAGAATATGAACCTTGAAAATTATTTAAAAAAAGCTTGCTGACCGGAAAAAAGACTTGGTCATAAGGAAAAAAGAATCTGATGCAGTTATTTTCGCTCTTTTCGGCGGTATAGTCAAATCTTTCCTTGAACATCATCATTTTTTCGCTGTTGAACATTACTTAAAAAGATCGAATTTATATCCCACTTGGGATATATGTTTTTTGGCTATATCCCGATCCAAATATATTTTGATGCAAAACGGGATATAAATCCCGATCCGGATATAGAGCGTGAGATTCTACTGCCATCTCACAAAACGTCATGGACTTACGTAAAAGTAAACTTTTGCGTCGAATGGCCGTGGAGTAGAAGAAAAACACCAGAGACAGCGCACACCATAGCCAATATTCGATGCAAACAAATAAGTCCGCAACGGAAATCCACTATTAAACAGGGGATTCAACCAAGATCAGGAAAACCGTTTTTTCCAGTTAACGTAACTAAGGATCATTTTGATTTTTTAAACTCGACTTGTTTGATACTAATAGATATGTTTTACAACCGCCTATTCGTTACGCCCAAGTCTTGAAAACTTGGACGGTTCTTACTACGCGCGCAGTCCTCAAGACTGCCTTTCTGTAACTTTTCACTCAACTCATGTTGAGATCTATTAGTAGCTAAGGATATTAGTAAGACGACTATTGAAAATAAACAATGAAATCTAAATGCTAGATATGTATTTCGAAATCAACAGAAAAAACTATGAGGAGTGTTTTCTGTTGACTGTTGAGACACTTTCATATATACATATTCGGATCTGTTTTTAGGAAGCGGTCGAAAAAAGCCACAATTTGCTCATCAATTGTGGAATATATATGAACGTGTTGCCGATGACCTTCCGCGTTCAAGCAACTCAGCTGAAGGCTGGCATAGCGCATCTGCTAATCGTGTTTCGATCAGTCATCCTACAGTTGCCAAATTAGCCGACAAAATTCGTCGAGAACAATCAAAATTTGAAGTTGATATCGCACAAATTCGCCAAGGACATGAACCAAACCAAAGAAAGCGTCGTATCGAAAACGCGATGATCGAATTAAACGTTTGGTGAACGCTTATGATACGAACCATTTGGATGAATATTTGAATAGCATTGCAGCAAATGTGAAATTGTGAACACGATGGGCTAGTGGTTTCTTTGTTTATTTTGTTATTGTTTGATTCATAAATCAAGAAATTAAATAAAAGATATCTATTTCACTCTATTGTTTGCTCAAGCTTTGCAATCACGATTCTCACACCGAAAAATGAGTTTGATGTCGGTACATCGCTCCAATGTATACATACGGATTTCCCTTTTATAGCTGCGAGCCTTTTCACAAAAAATTATGTTAAAAGAAATCGTGCGACGAGTTGTCCGCGACAAAATGACCGCGATGAAAAGACCTGCCACGAAATGTCCGTGCGACTAAATGACCGCGACGAAGTGTCCACGACGAAAAGACCTGCGACGAACTGACCGGTCACCGATGATATCTGTCTACTATCCATTTCAAAATCGAATGAGTGTGACTCGAATAGCTCCTCAGCATAAATAGATAAAGAGGAACGGTTTCTTGTATTCAATAGACAAATATGGAGGAACAATATCTATGAAACAAGAATTTCGCTTTTACTTGATCTTGATGGGATTTTCAAGGGTTTTCTGAAAGATCTTGAGTTTTAGAAGGTTTCTGCTAATCGTTGCGATCGTTTGAGACGTGCACCATAGAGACAATACATTTCTCTATTTTTTCCAGCAATCCCGAACTTTGTATCACTTTACGTCACAAAATGCGAATTTTGCCCGGGAAACAGGTGAAAATAGAAGTTTTGACCAAGGAAATTTTGTTTATCTAACGGATACTTATCCAAAAAATTACTTTAGTCAGAAAAATAGTTATCTGGCCAGAAAAAATAAATCAAAATTCGTACGCAATAATAATTAGTTAGCTATAGCGACACACAATTTTGCTTATATATAAGATACACGCTCTTCCGTTCCTTTAATATTCACACGAGCGAACATCTTTTATATAACTCATGTGCTTTTCTAACAGTTTTCAACATGAAATAAGTTATATGCAGATACGCATGTACGTCTGTGTATGACTTATATGGTAAACACTTGTGTGCTTGCAGATACTGATGTTTTTCTTATATTATTATTTAGGTCATTTTTTACCAGTAGAGACGAAAAGTAGTTTTGTTGTAGAAGGCACTTATTTCTGAAAGTGATCGTGTAAAGCCCACTTCTATATTCGAACCTATTGCAGTTTATATCTGCGTTTTCACTTTTCTAAAATGTGGTCGGTCAGGGTTTCTAGGTCAAGATAATTAACCGATAAACGGAGTGACCGACAAATAACACACTAGCGCAGCCATTGATATGGTAGTTGTGCCTCATAGTGTTTTCAAGTGAATATCTGAAATTTGGAGCAGTCATATGGCAAAACATATTATGTCGTTTTTAGTTTGAACCCTAGTTACATCCGCGCTTTATTCTTGCCGCGATTATGTTGCGGCCGCTAATTCTGCGCGTTCCGCGAAAAAATGGCGAAAGCGCCGCGAAAATTATGGCGCGTCGTTTTCTAGGTTAAGATTAAGTAGCGCTCGCGCTTCAAAACAAATCGCATCATGTTTAAGATTTAAATCAGATTGCATCGCGCTCGCGATTCAGATCAAGATGTATCGCGTTCCCAGCTTGGAGCGCGTCGCACTCGCAATTTATATCAAATCGGATCGCGTTGGCGATTCAGATAAACAAAAACATAAAGAACTGATTTTCCAAATGGTTTCTTATGACTAGCAAAAATAAAGGATATTTCTTGCAAAACTCCAATAATATTTTAGTAATTTGGTGGTACGTTTATAAATACTGAAAGATACATAGATGGCATAATACGAGACCTAATACCGGATACCAGCGATAAAGTATTCTCAATAACTGATCTCCTCTCTGCCGACATACAGCGAATTGAAATATTGTCTTATTAGTCTAATACCTGTTCTATCATGATTGGTCCCTTTTATTCCCTGGGGGTTGCTAACAGAAAACTTACTGAATTGTGTTCCTCATGGTTGATGTAGTGATACGTCATGCTTATCTCAAATGGGTCAGTTTGATTTTTGGAAAAAAATAATTTTGAAAAAGTCCAAATAAGACTTGTGTCGGAATCAAACCGGCGACGATCTTTTTATACAAATCTTTTGAAAACAAGGCATTTCTCAAGGTAATTAAAAAACTTTCTTCGTGTTTTATCCAGTTTTCTCTCCGGGCACTGGCTGTGCAACCAAGGTGAAGTATTCACTTCAGATTCAGTTCTAGGTATAGTAAAATAAGTACACAGCAGTTTCATTTGTAAACACCCTCTCACTTTCACTAATTCTTCTTTATTCCTCATAGGAATGATGCTAAAGATGTGTTGAACATCAGAAAAATTTTGATCGTTATTTCTAATACAGCTTCAATCTTAGACTTCCCGAAGTTCTGTCATGTATTTCTCAGTTATGAATCGACATATAACTAGCATTTGATCTCAAAATAAAAGTGAGAACGGTTGTTGTTTTATGGTTCGCCCGTGAATATTACCGATAAGGTAACGTTTGCCGTATGTGAAGAAAACATTCACGCTCCGACTTTCAGAGAATGTATATCGATAGATATTTTCGATAGGAATATAAAAATATAGAAAAAAATAGCTCTATTCATGTGTTTAAAATAATCAAATGCTTAAAAGAAAAAGTCCAAAAGGTTTTTCTCTTACGCCATGTTTTCAAGCAGGTATTCCAGGGGTACGAGCATTGACTTTCCAAAGCACATTAGCGCATGAGTTAAGCAATCCTCTAAATCTTTTTCTAAAGAACCTTGTATCGATAGTGTGAAACAGAGATATAAAATAGAAAATACATTTTGAAGAAAATCCCATTACTTTTGGTAGATGCGTTCCATTTACCCCATGCAGGCACAGCAAACGTTCTAAGTTCCCACTTGTGGGAAATAGGAACCGCACAGAATTTTTATGAAATTAGAGTCTCATATGTGGCGGATAAACTATCTTGAGATCTTATGGTACATTAGACTTTTAATCTACATAGGTGGGTACAATGGCGTAACCAGGATTTTTGGACCGCTGGGCCGTGTTCCGTAGAGTCGAAAAGAATCGGTGGGCCTAGGTGGGTCGAACGTTGCCTGCTTGGACAGGAAATATTTCCAACTGTTGCCAGTTCTGATACCGTCATTTTCGGTGTTACTAGTTCTCGTGGTAATTTGAGATTTTTCAACGCCATTTTTGCAAGAAAAAATTGAAAAATATTGACTTTTTGAACTGCAGGAAAAAACAGTGAAATTTTCATGTTTGATAGTGTTTCGAAATTTCAAAACCTTTTTTCTTATTTTCCACCAAAAACTGAGTCTGGAAAGCTAATTCTGGTAACTTTAGAAGCTAAAATGGACTCAGAATCTGCGGGGTACGAGCAGAATGGTAAAGGGGCTGCCAGTCAATTTTACGGT